CCCCTGTGCTTGGTTTAATGACCACATTGTTACAGTGCATCTGCCCAAGGTGAAAGAAAAAGCAGTGTCAGAGTTCAGTAACAGAGACAACAGTGTAGGGTTTGTTTCTTAAAATGATCAGCCATGAAATACAAGAAGGTGTAAAGAACTCTTATTTTAAATCCACAGTGGCTGCCTGTATGTTAAATCTAAGATGACAGATTAATTTACTGAAATCCAGAACCAACACAGTAACCTCTTTTGTTGTGCATGTTTGTTGTGCAAACAGGAATATTTGTCCTCCACAGCTCTAGCAATATTCATACGTAGAAACAAAGTATTAAATTTAAAACACGGTGACCCAAAGATTTTCTTGCCATCTTCTGTTTATTATGAAATCTCTTTTCCAATTACCTAAGGCCTTTTTCATATTGAAACAATTTCCATTATATCAGGTCACCATGCTTTTTGCCTGCCTGACCATTGCTAGGTGCAGACCTACTTGAGGGAAGAGCTCCTTGGTTGAGCACTAATGAAACATGAAATCACCTGGTTCATCATAAAATACATGATCCTTAAGCATTCCAAACCTTCAGTTTTGTATTTGGCACTATGAATAAAGCTAAGTGTAAAATTCAGTGTCAAATGTTATGTGCAAAATTTTGAAAAGAGCTGGAATCTCTCTTATACAAGATTTTTTTTTGAGATACAGCAGAGCAGATTTCAGTAATAATGTCATGTGCTCATGTAGCTACCTATTTCAGTGGGAGTTAAGCAGATACTAATAATATGCTTTTGAAAATCCAGTAGACTCACTTTGTATTTTTACTACTTAGTAAGTTAAATACTTTTGCAGAAATTTGCCCTGAGGTCCTGAATGCGAATATATTTTCCATTACTTAATTTTCCTTCATATCTGTCTTGAAGTGTTCAAAATTCTTGGTTGAGCAGCTGTGAAATTGCTGAACCAGTCTGAAGAAGGGCTGCTTTTTCCATTTGTCACCCTTTTAGAAGCAGGTTCCCGTTAGAAATTTGACTTTTCTGAATATTCAAACTTTTAGAATAAAGGGCCCTGTTTGAGACAATGTGGGAGAATGGTCTAAATCCTTAAGAGTATGCAGTAAAACACAGTCTTTTTTTAGGTTTACTAAATTAGGAGAGGAACAGTGAGACAACACAACACGTGCGAGGCACTGGGGCACCAGGCTGAGGCATCCAAGAGGACCGAGCTGGTGCGGAAGTCAGTCAGTATGAGCAGTTAAAAATGAGCTGAACTTCATTGTTCTGGGTGTCCTTCTGGGCTGTTTTAGACACACATGCATTGGCATTTATGTACATTTGAGCATGTGTGCACACAGCTCCTCCCTGGGAACGGAAGGCAGGGAGGGATGGGGAAGAGTGAGGCGCGTTTGCTGAAAGTTTCCTTTCCTTGCACTCAACTCTGCTGCTGCTGGGGACTGATGAGTTAGAGGCTGAGCAGTGGGGAACAGGAGCACATTGTTTAAGCTCCCCACAGAACAGTTCATGATGGAAAACATTCACAGCACCCCTACCTCAGTGTGTGTAGGCTCTGGAGCCCAAAAGCTGGAGCTGTGATTGCCTTGCCCTCTCCTGTCTGAATTGCTGTGATGGCTGTTCTGGGCACAGGCTGCTTTCAAACTATTTCCCTGCAGCAACACCTGAGTGGCAGCTGGACAGGGGTCCCAGGGAATGCAAAGTGTGCAGTGCTGCATGTGCCTGTGTAAAGCAAAGGGTTTCTATGCTGTGCTGGCTCCTTGGCTGTGTGTGTGCTGTGAAGATTCCCATATGTGTGTATGTGTGTGTGTGTGTGTGTGTATGTGTGTGTGTGTGTATAGCACATATGTCTTAAAAACAGCGTTTGTTCTGGACAGCTTCTCCTACTACTTTGCTATTGCCCTTCACACCCAGCTTGTTACTTTCTCTCCCCCTTCTGCTGTATTTTACAAATTTTAAAATAAGGCCATCAAGATAAATTGCCTTTTAATGCTTACTGTCCTTTCTAAATAGATTCTCCTGACCCTCCATTTACAAATCACCTTCAGAAGAGCTAGATTTACTGCAAGATTTGTCACTAATACATAACTTTTGCTAACTAGAAAAATTCTAAATAGATTTTTAAATTAGACTTTAAAATATTAGATGTGCATCTGTGTTTTTTCTTAAATTATGATATGCCAAAGGACCCGGACATCTGAAATCACAGATCCTTTTGTCTATTAGGGAAAATACTTTGCTGACCTATTTTGCCTTAACTTTAATTAAATTGGTAGAAGGATTCATTGGCTGGTACTGTGTAGGGTGCAGTCTCCCTTAGTATCTCTCACTTCACCTTGGTGTCATTAGTGTAGGTATTGGCTGGGTAAGGCAGATGGGTTTGGGATTTGCTACACCAGAGGAATACCTTTATTTTCTGAGAGCTTTTTTGATGTGTGATGTAGATTGTGGCACCATTCAGGTGACAGATTTGATCCTGAAGTGGCTCCAAGCTAACACTGCCTTACCTCTGGATGTCATTCTGAGCCAAGGACTAGCTGAAGTGTCTTTGCTCTGTGTGAAGTAACCCAGCTCTAAGCCTGGGGACGTGGCACAGGCTCACACTGCAGTGAGATGCAGTTCCACTAGCTCAAAATTTTTCAGTGGGTCTCTCACAGTGCTGGAGTCACATCTGTGAATTTTTACAGGATCAAGCCCTAGACCTATGGTAAGGGGTTATAAATGTGGACAGCAGTTGTGAATTTTAAAATAGATTTAATTGTGTCTTCTTATATTTCATTGTTTATCTCTGAAAGCTTTCCAGTGTCTTTTAGGGCCCTTCCTAAAATCAGATGTCCTGAGGTACTGCTGGGTTTCAAAGTTTAACTTTACCCAGGTTTTTCTACCTGTCTCTCTTTTTCACTAGAATGTAGTGCAAGTTCACAGATTTAGGTTGGGGAGAGTTGTTTGTGGGATTCTAGAGCTGGAGCGTGTGTGGAGTGGTGGGGCTGTGGTGCCCATCCTCTGGTGTGGGGAATGGTGCCAAACCAGCTGGTGGCCCTGCAGAGCTGGCTCCTGCTGCTGCTACACCCATGCCTGCCATACTGCTCTCCCTGTTTATCTACTGTCCTTACAGGCCAACAGGGAATGCAAGGAACAGCTAAAGATAAATAATAAACGAGGGGGATTGTATGGTGAATATCTTCAGCTATGATGTGGAAAATCTTCAGATGGGAACCGTGGTCTGAGAGATGGTGCTGAGCCAAGGGGTGAGGGAACTAAAGCCAGTGGTTCTGTGGAGACCAAACACTTTATAGCAAACACCACAGACTGAAGCCTGACCTGGATCGAAGACAGAGGCTTGGGAAGAGGGCACACTACAGAAAGGAAAAGATCTGGATTCAAGTGAGATATGAGCTGTCTAGAAAAGCTAAAATTAAAAAAAGCTAAAGTTGTCTGAAAAAGATAAAATATAATTCAAACTAAGCTGCACCATGACTCCGGGGCTGACTGCTTTCTTTTAGAAAAAAAATGGTCCATCCTATCTCAGTGCATCCATGCTGTGGGATCAGATGTTGTTGCCTGGTATAGTTCCTCAGGCAACAGTCTGGGGGCTTAAATTCCTAGCTGTTATCCCTCTTACACAAATGGTAGAGGTCTCACAGCAACGACAAGCAAGGATATTTTAACTGACAATATTGACAGAGACAATTTATAGCCTATTGTGTGCATGCAGCTGCTGAGCATTCATGTCCTGCCACCATCTTGGCATTCCTGACTTTATTTTTGACAAAGGGTGTTTAACCAGGAATATCTCCATATCTCAGCATAATTAATATCTTGGTCACTTGGATCTTTTTTCTATTGACTTTCTCCAACTTTCCTCCCTTCCCTTACTTCTCACACACACACATATCTGTGGTTGAAAAAAAAAAAAAGAAAAAGAAAATGTGTGTGTGTGTGTGTGTATAAGTGAAGTTAAAACCATCATGACAAATCATAAATAGAACTTGGTAACAGAAGAAATGAAAGTTTGGCAAATATTTTACATAAATCAATTCTGAAACCAATAACATTTCCACATTTACTATTGCAATTAAAAATCTTTTTAAACAGGTTTTGAGGGGCCATCTTTCAAAGCCCACTTTTATGCTTTCCTTAGGATGGTGCTTACTGCAGAGAGGACTCTCAGTGTGTTCTGCCAGGGCATTGCAAAGCCTGTGAGCAGAGAGCTGGGGAGAAAGTCTTTGTACAGGTATATTTTACTTTGTGAAACTATTAGTTTTACCTTTTACCCAGGTCAGATGTGATCAGTCATAAAGCTCAGCCCAGCTGCAGTGCCCCTAATTCATGGAGTATCTCCCTGCAGCTCCTTCTGAGCTCCCCTTGCTCCCCCAGAGCAGTCGTGGATTGAAGCACAGAAGCAGGGCTGCAGTGCCCAGCCTGTGTCTGGGCTGTTGGCACCCCACAGGTGTCAGAAAATCACTTTTCTCCCTTGCTGTATCACACACAGGCTCCTTCACCTGCTTTTCTAGTGATTGTTACTATTTTCTGACTAAGTTTTCACAGTATGTTTGTCCTCACCACAACACAGATTAAAAAGGACAGAGCAGCATCCCAGAACTGGCTGGACAGTGGGTGGAAGATGCTGGAAGACTATTTTCCCTGAGGTAACCTGGGTGAAAAATGAGGCAAGGAATGAAAAGCTGAGTGTTATTTTCACCCCTGCTTTTTCCTGTGATACAGCAGAGTAACATGATGTCCAGGACAAGGAGCACTGACCCCACAGGCATTCTGCTCCAAGTGGGAGCTCCCTCCACCACTGCTGAGGGGCTGCTGGGTGTCAGATTGCTGGTCAATCATCCTTAAGATCTTTTGAGTCATCTCCAAGCAGTTTGAGCGAAGTACCAAGTGGTTTCAGCCGAGAGGACTGACATAAATTAAAAATAAGCGACCTGTGGCATCTTGAAAACCAGCCCCACCCTTAGGATTTTTATTTTTTAAAGCTTCCCTGTTTTTCATCTTGCCTGCAGGGAGGCTCAGCCTGCTGGCTGGCTCAGCACACAGAGGAGAGTTTGGTCTGGCTGTGATTGACAGGGCCATGGTGTTCTGTCAAGGAGATTTTGATTTAGAAACCAAGTGGTTTTGGGAAATTTCAATGGGATAGCTTCCAGTGACCTGAACTGAAGTTGCCTTTCAAACACAGGGATGATCATCCTTTTCTATCCCCTTTCCTTCTCTTATTCATCTGCAATTCTTGTGGGGAGACAGAGAGGTCTCTGTTATTTCCCAGTCTAAGCTATTTTTTCTCCTCTCGCTGTCTTTCACCACTGAAGTATCTCAGCAATGCCAGGAGGCTGCTATGGCCCAGGAGGGTAAGAATAGTCTACAATGGCAGAGATCCCTCCTGTTGTTGTTTGTCCACTTGCAGTTGCCTGGACAGAGGATCCACACTGAGGTAGGAGCAATTGGATCTGACAAGCTAGAGCTTCTGCAAGACAATGTGTTAAAGCCTGAAGAAGATCTACATTCAAAACTAACAGTCCTGTTCAAATCATCAAAATAATCCTTCAACACTTTGTTTTGGCTGAGTTCCTGATTTCTGTCCACGAACGTTAGCAAAAATTCCTTCCTCTTTTTTTTTTCTTCCCTTGTTTTACCCCCTTTTTTCCCTGTCTAGGTCTAATCTCCTTTGGAAATGACAAAACTGTTAGGACATCAGGAGCTGGAACTGTTTTGAGCCTGTTCAAACATGGAGCACTGGGACTCACTGGGATTTTTGATAGTCACACTCAACTATAATGTGACTATTGTAGGTAAGTACTTTAAAAGAGCTCTCTTCTTTCTTTTGCTGCTTCATATCCTGAAGCCACCCAAGTGCCCTACTGATAATCAACTTTCATTTCAGGCTATGGCTCTGTGATCTGTACAGTAAGTTGTTTTCATGATCCCTGGTAGAAGAGGTTAATGTATTTCTTTTCTTGTTAAACAGATTACTTCTCTCTCTGTGATAGGTTTTTCCTGAACATTGCGTAAAATATTCTGGCAAGGTTTTCAGATTTGGGTTTTCTTGATCGCAGGGCTTCCTGCCAGCTGGAGGAAGGGATCATGGTAAAAACACATAGAAGTAATGCTGAACTTATACCACATAAAGTGAATGGTAGAATGTATGCAATAGCTTTAGTAACAAATTAAAAAGTTAAAGAAGAGGACAGAAGACCCGCTGTCTTTTACAGGAAGAAGTTTGTGGTTACTACCATTGTGGTTAATTATTGCTTTTCATTCCTTATTTTTGTAAACAAATATGCATCACTTGCATTAAAAAAAATACCAACAAAAAACCCAAACAAACCAAAGCAAAATGCCAATGTCTTTTCCTTAGGTAACTGTTTGCTGTTTATTTTTTTTCCCCCCTATTATTTAAATAAGATTCTGTTTCTCTTCCATGGGCTATTTTGAACAAAGTGTGAGCCAGAGAAAAACTTTCAAGGGCCCTTTAAAGACTCTTTGCCTGCAGCAGTTGCTGTAGTTTATTCTGTGCACTGCAGGGAGCATCCAGCTGAGCCCCAGCAGGGTTGCTGGAGAGGCTTGTTCTTGTGTGTTTAATCAAGATTGGGTCTTTAGGGATGGGGATGCATGCAGGGGTTATCTCTCAAATGTATGTCACATTAAACTACTTCCTAAGGAGCCATTGATTTTTCTTAAGCAGTGCTCCCTATTGTACATGTTCTAATTAAAAATTGATAGTGAAATAGCATGTAGTATTTTGAACCTAATTAACTAATGAGTGTCAAAGACTTTGAGGTCCTTGCAGGGAAAAAACTGCTGCCTAAGGATGAAACATGGTTTGCTAAAGATGATAGATTCTATAGAGCTGGTGTTTCCTACTGACCCACACTATCAAAAAATGAGTAAGCCTGCAAACACAGGAAGCTGGAAACACAGCTAAACCACCACTACAGCTCAGGTGATTAAAGATAAAATGAAAGGCCTCAATTTTTTATGGCTGGATAATATATTATTTTGCCAGGAGCAGCAGTTTCTCTGATGATCTCTCATAAACCTTACATATTCTTCATGTTTTTCCACTACAGAGTGCAGTTTTACTGTTCTAGCCCATAATCAGTCTACTGGCCACAAATGTTTAGAGGGCATTTGAACTGTATGTTTAGTACAATATTAGGTATCACATGATGCTGTGGAAATATTCGGATATTTTAAATTCACACCAACTACTGGGAAACAGCTTTATGGGAAATGCAGAAGAAAGTTCTCCAAGGCGACACCGATAAATAATTGTATAGTTTATAGAAAAATGCTTTTAATCTGGATTTTTTAAAAGCCTTTATTGGTGCTATTTCACAGATTGCACACAAAACCTTGTGTGCACATGAGATGTGCATTCACTATTAATGGCTTGAGCTTTCAGTACATTTCTCAGCCATTAATTCTGTATAATATACTTCTCTTTAGTCACTGTGTCTTGCTGTTTCTCTGCCTGTGTTTACAATTCCTGTCTTAACTATTCTTTAAAACAGAATTAATCTTCTAATTATTTTATGTTGTTTTTTCCCCCCTCTTTTTGTTTTTAAGCAGTTTTTTTCCTCTTTTCTTGTAAGGGATTATTAAATTAAATTACTTTTTCAAAACTTTATAGGGAATTAGTGACAGGATTAAAAAAAAAAAACATGAGAAATTCAAATGTTAAACTTAACTTCAGATGTTGAATGTGTGTTTGTACAGAACGCATTCTTAACTTTTGACAACAGAATGGTGTATCTTTGAGCCTTCCCATCCTGCCCAGAAAAAGATTTTAGACTTTCATGGAATCATAGAATGGTTTGATAGAAGGGAACTTTAGGTCTGAGTGGAGAAAAGCTTCTCACTGGGTTGAATGTAGGTTGGAAATCATGGCCAAGATGGGGCAACCAAAGAAGAAACAGAGAGAAATGGGGTGCACATTTGCACACACAAATGTGTATTTGTAGAACACTTGGAATAAGTTTTCTAACAATAAAAATAATAACTAATTAATAGCTTGCTAGTAAATAGCATTCTAGACACACCTGAAGAGATTTAGTTGGCCAAAGTAAACTTTTCATACAGTGTCACGGCAAAGACCAAGAACAAATACTATGTCATGGAGCAATCTTTTCTGTCTAGATGAGTCTCATACTGTGTTACCTGATCTGTATTATTGAAATAGGACAAAATTCAGGTGTAGGAATTCCAATAACAAGGAAAAAATGTAAGTGAAACGGGATTCTTTAGTCATTTTTGTTCTCTTTTTATCAGAGTGTTTTTATTATGTTTCAGCTGGCATGGCTTATTGTGTGTTTAACTCCTACATTGTCGAGTTTAGATGAAGATTATGGAATATGTAAACTACACATTTTCACTGAATTTTCAGTCCCAGTTCCAAAAAAAAACCCCAACAAATGGAGCTAATAAGAAGGGAGACTATTTCATCAAATGCCTCATGTATAGAATCACTGCTTGACCTACCTTCCTTCTCAGGCTCTGACTCTTTTTTCTTACCTTTCCTTCTCTTGTAGGGAAGATCTGGCTGATGTTGATAATTCTGCTGCGAATGGCAGTGGTGGTGTTGGCAGGCTACCCCCTCTACCAAGATGAGCAGGAGCGCTTTGTCTGCAACACCCTGCAACCAGGATGCTCCAACGTTTGCTATGACTTGTTCTCCCCCGTATCTCACTTTAGGTTCTGGCTCATTCAGACTGTGTCTATCCTGCTGCCTTATGCTGCATTCAGCATTTATGTTTTGCACAAGGTAGCTATGTACATGGTAAGAATGCACTGTCTGGTGAATGAGTGCAAGGGGAGCAAGGGTTTATCAAGCCCCAAAGACGTGAAGGAGATCTGTAGAAGTGCAGTCGTCAGTAGAGTAGATTGTGGTGCAGACAACCTAAGTGTCCTTAATTTTTCAGGGGCATATACCATTCATCTTTTTATTAGGACCCTACTTGAGGTTGCCTTTGCAGCTGTGCAATACTTTCTTTTTGGATTTTTTGTTCCTGACCGCTTTTCATGCTACCACTCACCTTGCACAAGCACTGTTGATTGTTATATCTCCCGGCCCACTGAGAAGTCCATCATGATGATTTTCATCTGGGGGGTCAGCAGTCTGTCCTTCCTGCTCAGCCTTGCAGATCTCATCTGTGCTCTCCGGAGAATGACAGCAAGAAACCAAAAGAACAAGCTGCTGGCAAAGCTCTGCACAGAGAAGGAGTGCATGCTACATCCTCCCCCAGTCCAGCACAGCAGCTCTTCTCCACCTCAAAATGGGGATGGTCCAGTAGCAAATAGCGGTCGGACCAGTGATGGCTCCTGCTCACTTCTCTCTGAAGAGGAAGAAGAGGCTGTTCTTCGTCCTGAAGGTGTCCCTCAGCAAAGTGCCAGCACTAACCTCAGCAGCAGTAAGGGCTGTGTATCAGGGGACCTTGCTGTTAAGCAACAGAGCACTGAAGAACTCTTGTGTGCCAGTGACCACCAAGGAACTCCCTGCAGCCAAGTGAGACCCAGAGCTCAGCAAGACTTCATTACAGATACTGCCCTGGCTTTGAGACCTCAGATCCAGTCTCCCCTTGGAGTTTCTTCCTTTGCTGTTCAGAGCAAGCTTTTAGGATTCTACCCTTCAGCTGAGCTAAAAAGCCCTGATGCACAATCAAATTATAGCAGCACTAGCTGCCTGAGGTCAAAAAAGTCAGAATGGGTATAGAAGCCAGAGTGAGCACTACGCTGTGACCTTGACAGGGAAAATCATTGCATCACTGAAGAGGCTTCAGGGAGTTCCAGCTGCATCCCTTGGCTGTGGTTGTGCTGCAGAGACACTCTACTGTGCTGTGCACCTCCATTAGAAAAGAAGAAAATCTTTGGATAAGAGGGTGAAGGGTATTACATTAAGTGACATGTTCTTTAGAAGATGTGACATCTTTATGTTTTTCTGCATGTAGATGGTTTTAAAAGGCCAGGAGTATGTGTGAGCACTTCTTTAACCTAGTTTTATTGCAAAAGATTGAGTTTAGCAAAGATTTGTTGTCTACTGTCAGAAGCCTCATTTGTCTCTTCATAATAAATTCTCAAAGCCCACTCTATGACAGGATATTCAAGAACACTAGACAGTGAATAGAATAAAAAAACTTGTTTTGTGGCAAAGTGCTAATATGTTAAAACCCCTGGATCTTATTACTTGAAGGCAATACCTCTCCCAGCTAGCAGGCATGTAGTGATAGGACAAGGAGGAATTTCTTCAGACTGAAGTAGGGTAGGTTTAGATTAGACGCAAGGAAAATTTTTTTTGCTTGATGGTGGTGAGGCAGTGGAAGCGTTTGCCCAGAAGAGTTGTGGATGTCCTGAATGTCCCTTCCCTGGGTGTTCAAGGTCAGGTTGGATGGAGATTTGAGCAATCTGGTTTCATGGAAAGTGCCTCTGCCTATGGCAGGGGCTTTGGAACTAAATGATCTTTAATGTTCCTTCCAGCCTAAACCATTCTATGAACTACAATAACCTCCAAAACAGAGTGGCTGCATCCACATTAGCTGTTGGGCATGATCCTCTGCTTGAGAATTTCTCAGGAGACAAGGAGGTGTGAGCCAGAAGGGTGTCAGGGAGTGCTCCAGCAGCTTGACAGGGACTGAGCAGCAATGCCCATGCTCTGGCTGCACTGACACATCTACAGGGTGTTACTTCTCAGCCTTAAATAGTCACACTGGGCTCTCAATTTCAGGAGGTGGGAATGAGTCACCTGACCTGTTTTAGGGGTCTCTAAAGGTAAGATGAGTCACTTTCTAGATATACCTATTTCTCCCACAATATGATTATCTCAGACCTGGGTTTAGGGAAAATGGATTCCACCCTGAAAGAAGGATATAGTGGCAATGTCTATATCAAAGTGTCTTTGTCTGACAGACTTATAACGCTACTAATTTGAAAACATGTCTAGATTGAGTGAATCACAGAAGATTTTATTACAGTTATACTTTGTGCTTTCCTTCAGTGTTAATTCTGTTGCATTTGCATAAGCGTGGTCCAGCGCTACAGCACGGCAGTGCGTGAGATAAATTATCTTTTAGCTGCAAGTCAGTGGGGGTTGAAGGTTACACATACCTGCAGATCATCAGTGGGAGTGGATGTGGAGGAGCATGTACCCAGAGAAATGTGCTGGTGGTAGTGTCTTATAAAACAAATTATTCAGAGGGTGTCAAGAACTGGTATTTGCAGATACGGCTTGGTGCTAGAGCAGCTACGATGCTTTTTAGACCAGACACAGATCTTGCTCCTGGGCTGCCATGTAACAAGTTTCTGTAATGTGCAGGATATGTGCAGGACATGAAGGGACAACAGATTTCACATTCTTCCTTTTCTCTCCTGTGGGTGAAGAAGTCTTCAAGACTGTTAGGCTCATCACTCCTGTGTATTATTTCTCACATGTGTAAGGTAAAGGCTAGCAATTATCCCTTCTCTTCTGCATTCCCCCAAAATTAGGTGGTTTAATAGAGAGACAGAATTGCTCTTGAGGTCAGGAGCAAAGTACTTTGGGATCCTGAGGTAGGCTACAAGCATTTTTAATTACTCCCTTCTAAGCCAGGTTTTCCTCTCTCTGTTACCCCTGTTTGTTTCTTTTATTGTGCATGCTTGTTGTGTGATTTGTCATTTCCAGGGTAGAAGCAGCATTAATTATTAAACTTATCATAGGCAGAAAAGCATTAAATATTTAAACTTCTCATCCTCCAAAACCTCTTTAATGGGGTCTGTGCTGATTACACATGCCATGACAAAACATTGCAACAATGAAACCTTTTATGATTCATTGCATCTTCTCAGATGTGAGAAGGAATGCAAGGCACAAATGTGGATTCAGTCGATTGCATACATCCCACAGCATAAGATAAAAATAGGGTAGGAAAAATAATAAATGCATTTTGGCTGGACACAGTTTGGGTTTTTTTGTCTCTGGTTAGACATCTTTTAGTGACTGAAGAATCTCATTTCAAGTTGGAAAGATCCTGTTTGTGTTTGAAATGGAAAGTGAAATTAGTGGATGTCTTCCTTAGTCTGCAGAGACTTTGAACTATTGTGAACTTCCAGAGCTCAAAGAAATTAAAAGTGATGGTTGGGAGGGACATCCACAGTGGGGAGGAGGAAATAACAAAAGAAAGATCTGCTTGAAAAAAACAAAGAGGATCACCTCTGATTTCTCCTTGTATTCAATATCACTGCATGTGGAGATGCTCTAGACTTGTCCAGATGTCTCGGAGTGAGAAAGGAGCTGATAGATGTGAAGCAAAGAAGCAGCAAGTCTTTCTGCTGTTAAAACAAAAATTTAGCCTTTTAAACTCATGTATTGGTTTTGTAAGTCCTTCCAGAAATTATTACATACCCAGAAAAATGTTCCAAAGGTTCTTATTATGTTTATCTATGCCTCTTTAAATAATTTCTTAACCCATCTGCTTCAGAAAAGCATTTCAAAGACGGGTTGAAAGCACAGTACTCCTAAAACTGCCCTCAGGGAGCTTCATCTTGTGCTCAAAGTGTGGGTGTCACTTGCACCCTGAGGTGGCTTTATGGAACAATACAAAAGATATATGTGTGTGTGTATATATATATATATATATATATATATTTCTCATCCAGTCTCATGTGGTACTGAGACTATACAGGAAGGAATTGAGCTCCCTGGAAATAAGAGTTGGAACTGATCAGAAAAATCTATGATAAAATAGTTTACATGTAAGAAAAAAAAAATTATTGGAAAATTATAAAATGTCATAAAAATGTTGTTTTGAATTGCACTTCTACAGCACTTCTCTTGCTAAATAAGTATCTAGTAGGCTGTTGGAGACACAGAATTTTCATGTTTTCTATGCAGCAAAATCAAGCATCACTGGAAGTTTCTGCAGCATGAACATGATTAAAAGAAAAAAAACAATTTTGTTACCTCTAACTAAAACAGATTAAAATTTTTCTCTAAACAAATTTTGAATGTATTTTTTTTTGTTTGTTTTGTAATATATTTTTAAATACCAAAATAAAAGCCAAACTAGTTTAGAAGCCAAGTTTCAGTCTGTTATAATCACTTTATTCTCTTGTTGCACTTTTTAGGTTGGGTCACTGATTTCCTCTCAGCAACATAACAGAAAGCTGTGACTCTCTCTCTTCTCTTGTGAAAGACACTGTAGACAGGTGTCTAGGGAATGCATAATTTCCTGTCAGCAGCAGTTGTTCTCCATGAATATCTCAGTTCAGCCCAGAATAAGTATTAAATCTGAAGTTAGCAATGTACTCTTTCAAGTTATTATCTGCCCTTACACGATACATCATTATTTCAATTATTAGCTTTCTAATAGAAATCCTTAAAGAGCATATTAATTGGACATTATATTATTGTAATTTCATGGTTACAATGGAGAACAGATAAACTGTTACTGCTTGTAGTATTTTAGGACAATAAAGAAATACATCTCAAAATATAGGACAGTAGAGTAGTTCAAAAGTCTGTTCTTTAACTTCTGTCTTTTGATCTACTTTTAATAGCCCGAAGTTCTCAACTGACAGAGATGTAATTTTACAGCGTAATGGCTTACATTGTAATTGAGTTGATAAAATGTTCTGCAGATTAGATGGTCTCTGCTCACTCATAGCATGAACTCTTGGCCTGTGATACCCAGCAATGCCAGCTCTGAAAAACGAGTTCACTAAGGCAGAAATCTGATCAGAATGTATCAACTGCATCTCTACATTAAAATTATCCAGCATCCATGTAGACAGATTACAATCACAATTTGTTTCACTGACTTCTGATTTCTCCCACTTTACTGTCTGTTTCCTTCCATTTGGCTTGACTGGCAGGAGGTCCCAGGTCATCTCCACAAGTGTAATTTATTCATGGGAGGGCACACACAGTGCTCAGTCTGAGAACAGTTTTATAATCTTGTGCTGTTCACACCGTGGAAATGCCAGGAGGTAGAGAGCTGTCTCTAATTCAGTGTCTGCAGGTAACACTTTGAGTACTGGATTAGCTTTGAAAAGCTTTCACTGACAAACAATTTACTGAGTGAGAATGATGGCAGATTTTGAGCTTGTTGTTAGAAACTGAGGTCTATATATGCTGCTCTCAAGAACGATGGGGGATTTGGGCTTAACAATCAGAAGTAATTTCCTTCATTTCTGGATTTCCCATATGAGTATCATCTATTTTGCCAGTGAGACTTTAGGCACCACAGCATTTTCTGACACTGAAAATGTTACTTTTAGCGAAGAAAGAACAGTAATGGAAATAAACAGGAGATTTTGACCTAGCAGAATAAAATTTTGCATTTTCCCCTGTGATGCCTTGCCTTTTCCTTGCATTGAAGATAGGCAATTTTTTTTAAGAGAAACCATGATGCTTTCAGAGCCCCACTTGTCCTGACAAATTAAACACCCACATAGACACCCACTCCTTCTACTCATTTCTCTATGAGTCAGTGTGAGTGATTCTTACTTCTGACAGACAATATACAGTGCAACGAGCTCCTTCTTTCTGGCACAAACTTTAAAGCTCTGTGCTATCTTTGGAGGTCTAGTGGAGATGTTCAGAGGTAGGCAGATGAACAACTTGTACACATTGGCTAACAAATCCCAGTTTTTTCTCCTTTAGCAATCCTCTTTCTAAAGCATTTCTCTGAAACATAGATAAGAACTATCTGTAACACAGTTTACAGTTGTGATGCATTGACAGACACCTGTTTGTGCAGGTTCACCAGAGACTTTCATGTCCAACCTGATGACTTGATGGGACCTCACCTTTGAATGACTGGAAAGCACCACAGGATTTGCATTGCAGCCCCACTTCAGCCTCCCATCAGTGACTCAGAACTGATCCCACGGGCTACCAACCTTTATGAAGTTCACAAGGTGAGCTAATATTAAGGAATGGTCCATAGAAATTTTTTGTAATATAGACAGACAGACAGATGTGGTA